ATTTATATAGGCTTGCTACCTCATGTTTTGAATTCTGGCTCTAGGATGTTGCTTGAGGTGATGGATAAGCTTGGAGTTGTGGACTGTATTTTGTATCTTGTTATATTTTTCAGGAGCTACAAGTGCCTCATGTTTTGAATTATGGCTCTAAGATGTTGCTTGAGGTGATGGTTAAGATTGGAGTTGTGGACTATATTTTGTATCTTGTTATATTTTTCAGGAGCTACATGTTCATAAGCTCACAAGTCTGTTGTAAAAGAATTTGTTTCTTAGATCCTTTTGTAAGAGTGAGGATGTCTCACTTTAGAACTGATCACTCTCACAATGAGAGGCGAAAGCATGTAACCTTTTTTCCTTTAATGATATCTTTTCTCTTTAAAAAAATTGTATCAGCAACATCAAAGCTCACAAATTTTTGTTTCTCAACTTAAATTAATTTGTTTACGAATCTTTTGTAAACATGTATCAGCAACACCAGTTGAATTATTTGGAGATATTTTGTCCCTTTTATTGGTTTTGCATGTCAGCCCACCAAAGCACACAAATTTTTGTTTCTCAACTTAAATTAATCTCAAAAGTTCTACTTTGCCTATTTAAACATGTATCAGCAACACCATACCAAAGTCAACCACCAGTTAATTGTTCTCCATAAGAGTTTATATCTATTTAAACATGTGTCAGCAACAATCCAATACATAATAATACATGTATAAGCTTGTGCATGCATATATGTATATGGGTGGTATCACATCATGGTGACCACAATCAAGTTTTCTTGATTTTATAGTTTGAACCAAACACTAGAAAATAAGGGAGTCTATTCACACATCAATTGTTTTCTTCTTTTTTTAAGTTGAACCAAACTAAGAAAAGTGATGGAAAGTACTTTTAGCCCATATTTTTTGGCAAAACAAACACAAGAAAGTGAATGAAACACAAAAAAGTGAAGGAAAATGGGTTATGAAAAATGAAGGAAACGACCCAAACAAGCCCTAACTGGAAGCATGTTAGTGTTTTTTGGAAAATTGACCAATATTGACACTTCCGACCATCTAGATTTTAGAAATTGATTCAATAATCTAACAAAGATGTAGGATCCAAACTTAAACGTGTAAGAAACAAAGGAGAAAAAATGGGAGGAACTAAAACCTGATGCAGACTTCGGAATCGGAGAGGATGACGATCGGTTCGTCTCTGATTTGGTTCGGAATCAGAATCTGGTGGCATGGTGGCTGATGGCCAGGAGAGGAGGAGGAGGGCGGTGCATCTTTGGCCAGCAGGTGGCCAAGGTCTGGGTACGTGAGGGATCGTAGGGGGCTATTGAAAGATGGCAGTGATGGTTGAACGAGCGGCGGATCTTTGGCCAGTGGGCGAGAAGGATCGTTGGGGGCTATTGAAAGAAGGCGGTGATGGACTGGCGGTATATTCTTGCCAGCGGCGGCGGTCTGAATCGCGTGGACGGATGGCTTTGAGTGGGCATGAGTGCTCTCTAATTGCCATATAAGATCCGGATGATCAATTTTTCTTATGCTACAGAATCTATTTATGTGATTTATTTTACCAAAATACCCTCTAGCAATTAATTCATGCCACATCATTATCAACCCGATATTTAAATAATCCAGGGACGGTAGGAAACGTGGTATGATAATGGCTTGTATCAAGTTGGAAGTGGATATGAGGTTCCTCTCTCTCTCTTAGTATTAATTATAATATATTTGATTGAGTAGTAATATTGATGATAGAGAGAGAGAGAGAGAGAACTTATATCAACTTTAAGGGAGTTCAATGCGAAGTTCTTATCATGGCGATGCACTGGATGGAGCTACATTAGTTATGAGTCGCTCGTTACCGTTAAAATTTGATACGATGGGATGAAGGGTCAAATCGCGCGAGTTCACCTCTTAAATTTTGGTTGTGTTGTGTAGTTTAGAATATAATAGATCAAGTTCAACAGAGCGGGATCATCCACAATATAGCTCAATCAGTGATCCATCAATGTATCTATTATTATATGTACTTAGGGACATCCACTTAAGTTGACATAAGTTATATATACTATATATATATATATATAATATATATTATATATATTAATATATATATTATATATATTATTATATATATATATATATATATATAATAGTCATGCTTGTCAAGCACAAATTTAATGATTCTGGTAGTGATGTGTACCATTCTCAGTCCACCTCATTACCCATGTGAACTGTCGGTCCCTATCTCCGATGAGTGGAGGAAGATGGACACACACTACCAAACATAACTTTGCTTGGTTATTTATACTATCTCTTCTCTCTCTCTCTTATTATATATATATATTACTATATATAATATATATATATATATAATATATATATATATATATATATATATATCATTATATATATATTACACTACACCACTAATATGAATTTCTAGCTCTGCCACTGTTCCATTTAGTTCCATTAACCCATTTCAGTTTGATGCCCCCAAAGTTTTTTTTTTTAACATTTTGATATCCCACGTTTCAATCTCATTTTAGTTTGATACCCTCGTTTGAGATCCATTAGATTTTTCATTTAAATCTATATGGGCACGTAAACAGTTGAGCAACATGGATCTAAATGGACGTTAATATATAATTGTAAATAGGGGTGCATTCAGTCCGGATACAGCTCGGATATGATGCTTATCATATCAGTATCTGCTTACTCATCTGGGATACAAATACGGATACGGATATACCTTGGTAAGGAAAATTCATATCCATATCCGCTTAAATCGGATACAGTTACTGATATACATGCGGATACATAAGCGGATATGCATGTGGGTACAGAACGGATATGAGAAAATTAGATAGTATTGACAAAACATAGTTCATGTGATACAAAAGAGTTCGTTAATATATTCATTATAACTAAAAAGTTAAGATTAGACATCTTGATCATCAAAATTAACCACAAATCCATAATCTAAGAATTAAAACTATTGTAGGAGTATGACTAATATGTAATCGAATATTTCGGATACGGATACGAATATTTCACTGCAAAACCATATTCATAACCATATCCTATCGGTTATAGATTTGAGTAACCATATCTGTATCCTAATGGATACGGTTACGAATATTTCCTCAGATACGGATAAGGGTGGGCAAAAACCAAAAAAAACCGGTTCAACCGAAAAAACCGCCCGAAAAAGCGGGCCGGTTAACCGAACCGAATTAAATGGATGAAAAAAAGACTCTAAACCGCTCGAACCGAATTAAACCGGTCTGGATCCGGTTTGAACCCCTGAACCGCCCGAAAAAAACCGAACCGAATTCTCTAATATAAATACTGAAAAATCCCTAACCCTAACTCAATTTCTCACAACCCGAAAAAAGTTTCATCAGCACAGGACTCTTTTTTCCAGCATTCTGTATTTGCATATACCTCATCTTCATCAAATCTCTTGCCCTCTAAATTCTTGAGGGTTGGCGTGTTACTATATCTGGTTATATTTAATTGTTCATAGTTTTCAGCACTTAACTAAAGACACTGATCGTATGTTATTCTTTCTAATATTTTTGTTCATTGCTTGTCCAGGGAGTAGAATCATTCTTAGCTCTGCCTGTAATTTTTTATTCACCATAAGATAAACCTCTGTTCTTGCATCTGAAATTTGCTCATCTTAATTGCATTGAGGTTTTTAGAAATCTCTTTCAGAGTGGCCATAATTAGTCATCAGGCTGTTGTTTCTATAGCTTGGCCATAATTGTATTGAGATTTTTGTGAAATAGAATTAATTCGGTCCAAAACCGAAACCGATCCAAACCGATCCGAATTTCGGTTGGGCCGAATATTCGGATGAAGGGGAAAAAATCTGGATCTGGATGAGAGTTTTGAGAATCCAAAAAATTCGGATTAGATGCGGATTGAGCTTAAAACCGAACCGAACCGAATATGCCCAGCCCTAGATACGGATACGGTTTAGCACCCCTAATTATAAATCAAAATAATTGTAAATCAAAATGAAATGGCATATAGACGGGGATCAAAGTGAAATTGGATTCAAAGATTGGAGTATCAAAATGGTGAAGAAATACTTTGGCTTATGAAAACCAAATTTTGATTCATAGGTTGGGATATCAAACTGTTTAAAAAATGCTTTAGGATGTCGAAGTGAGAAAATGGGTAAACATTGGGATGCCAGAGTGAAAATAAGCCAAAATCAATACTAATTCATCAGGTTGCTCTAAAATTGACGCAGGAAGATATACAAGGGTGGGACACAGCAATTCTTATAAGTTTTCACATTGCCTATATAATCTAATATGAGGTCAACTCAAAAGCTGATTATTTGTCTAAATCACTTCTAAAAGGTGAAGTTTGATTACGTTGTAGACAGACACCTTAAGAGACTTGGTTCTTAAGGAAACTGAAGGTTCGCTATTATGCTAGACGCACTAAATTATTGTAAATTAGAAGAAAAAGAACGATTGTAGATTTTTATGACATTAAATAATTTAAATCAAAAGAAACAATTGCACTCACTCAATTCTTTTTTTTTTTAATCACGCTTTTAACGCACATGGGAATAAAACCCAATAATTAACACACACACATATTTATATAATGGGTATCCTTGTCATAGGAAGGGATTTCCTCCTTAAAAATGATGTGGCACAATCCCCACCATGTGATATTCTCTCATTTTCAAGGAGGAAATCCTCTCATTGACAAACACGGCTATGTCATATAATCTATTAGGCTGCCCCTTTTTTCTTGAGCAATAGTTATTTGGTATGCTATCTCATGTTCCCTTTTTTATAAAATTACCAGATTCGACAGTAATGCTTTCAAGAATAAGAGAAAACACAGCAAGTGGAAAGTTTTCCAACGAGAAAAACATGCACATAACTTACCAAAATTCAGAACCAACCATGAGGGGACTCACCGGAGACAAACGTTAAAAGCCAAATTGGGGATGCGTCATTGAGATCTTAAAAGCTTCACACTCAAACAGTGCAACCAAATAAAAATTCGTACAACACGATTGATATGTTCCGCGGGTCCCACTATGAAACCTTTTTCATGCTCATTAACATATATACATCAACAGCGAGCAGATAAATATACATAAGCATAATGAGATAATTATATACCAGTCATAATATTTCATTACTTGACCTTACATATAGACCTCGACACCAAAAAACTTGGAGCATTGACACACAGGGCACAAGTTCAGCTTAACCTCACAATCCTTGCAGAGGCAAAGATGCCGGCATGGCAACAAAAGCATGCACATATCATTCACTCCACAAACTTTACAAGCAACAGACTCTTCCTTCTTGTTCTCATTGCTTAAGAGCTGGAAATCAATGGCTCTTTTTGAGCAGGAAACCGAGTCCACCTCGCTATCTCCACACCCTTCTCTGTTGTTCTGCGCATGCTGGAGTTTTAATCGAAGGGCATCTATCATATCTTCGTTGATCTTGGCCTCTTGCTGCCACATGCTCACTTGGTGATGTAGTTTTCTGAATTGTTCCTCTAGCTCCATGTTTCTCTTGGTGAAGTCCTGAATCTGTAGTTCTTTTTCTTGGATCTTTTGACGGAACTTCTCCTCAAAGCAAGCTAGAGTTTGGTATTGCTTCGCCTGAACCTTTTCTAGTATTGATTTCCTCAATAGATCACCCTGTACGCATGACAAAGAGAAATTTGTAGAAAATAGGAGCTGAATTTCCGAAGGAAAAGAAGAGGGTTGATGAAAACAACTACTGCAAGACTAGATGAACAGGATAAAATAAATATAAAAGTCTTATCATTTAAGTGTGATGGAGAAGGTGGATATCAGAATAGAAGGAAATGTGAATGAGGTTAAATAAGCAATTACGCATACAGTGTTGTAGCTTAATGTTGTCTATGAAACATGGAAAGCTGAACAAAGTAGGATAGTGACGAACTAAATCATCAAAAAGTAGTAGCAAATATCTCTAAAATAGATTTTACAAGACAAATACAACTCAAATGGTGAGTAACAATAATTAACAAAAAGAGAACAATTGAAAAATTGGGTAGCACACAGAAAGTGAGTTAACATGACACGAAGGATAGTCACCTATCATCAATCAAAATATGCTATAAGCTCTTTCTTTGTCTGCTTTCATAGTAAGAATTACCGTAAAGAACTCCAGAGTATATGAATATGGAAATATAAATAACGGTGACTCTTGAATGAACATTAAAGTCAAATAAATGAATATGTAAAGCAAGCTCCATACAACCTTAAGCAAACAAAAAAATTAAAAAATGTCCCAAGAAACCATTATGCACCAGGTATGGGTTGACCTACAAAATTAGAATATCACGCTTCAGTACCTTTCTATTGCTTACTTTGATCACAAGCAAATTTAAAGATTCATAAAACACCATGTTCGTATGTGGGGTTGCATGATTTCCAATACGATATTACCAAGATTAACAGACAGGATAAATTATGATTAGTAGGCTTCCAAATACAGTGGTATAATAGTATAATTGATATTATTAATTTGTGCAAATGTTAATATGTCCCTTCTATTACTTACTCCTCAGAATGTTCCATCTGGGTATTGCACATTTTCCTATCCTGCACTTTTAGAATTGACATATAACTTCCAATATCGAAGTAATTGATCCTTTATATACGGAGAGGATAGCACATGTGACATATCTAGGTGCAACCAAGCCCTTCAATTTCAATGGCAACGTGTAATCAATCTCATGGATGATTCCATAAGTTTCACTTTCAGGGCATCATAAAGAACCACAAAATTTTCAATACCAAATAGCACATTTTTAGAACGCATACTTAAGTGGATCGAGCTGGGCCAGTGTTCCAAAAAGCAGCTTCTAGTGTCAGCTTAGTGTAGCAGCTAGGGGTACATTCGGTCCGGATACAGCTCGGATATGATGCTTACTATATCCATATCCGCTTACCCATCTCGGACACGGATATACCTCGGTAAGAAAAATTTATAACCATATCCGCTAAAATCGGATACGGTTACGGATATACATGCGGATATATAAGCGGATATGCATGTAGTTACAAAACGGATACGAGAAAAGTAGATAGTATTGAGAAAAACATAGTTCTTGTGATACAAAAGAGTTCGTTAATATGTCCATTATAACTAAAAAGTTAAGATTAGACATCTTGATCATCAAAATTAACCACAAATCCATAATCTAAGAATCGAAACTATCGTAAGAGTATGACTAATATGTATTCGGATATTTTGAATACGGATACAGATATTTCACTACAAAAGCATATCCATAACCATATCCTATCGGTTATAAATTTGAGTAAGCATATTCGTATCCTAACGAATACGGTTACGGATATTTCATCGGATACGGATATGATTTAGCACCCCGGGTAGCAGCTCCTAACCCTCTATGCTGTTATCCTTAGCAGCATATACCAGCAAAAGTCGGAGCAGGACATAAAGTGTCTGATAAAACTGCTAAAACACCGCTTCTTTATTTATGAACAGCAGCCCATAATGAAATTGCTACTTTTTTTTAGATCTTGCGCTATGTAGTAGGGTAAGTTCCTG